TGTGGGTGGAGGATGTGAAGAATAGAGGAAGTCCTCTCCCTTCCCCCCAGTTCCCACCCCTAGATGGGCACAAGGTCTTAAGGCAGCTGAGCCCCTTTGAGTGTCAAATTGCCAGAGGCATCTGTTCCTGAGTGAGAAGAGAAGGGAACTTAAGCCCCTGATGAAAGGCCTCTTGTTCTCTTGCAGGAGCCCCAAGAGGGCAATGAGGCTGTGGCCTAGTGACCTATGGTGACCTGCAGAGGGGAGTGGGCTGGTGGAAGGACCATCTGGGTCCTCAGAAATTTGCCTCTTTGTCCTCAGGGTACAGCTCAGGACTGAAGAAACTCCCTGTCAGCCTTGTCTGTGGTGGTATCTGAGTACAGACCACTGTTAACCTTTCTCCTGGCCCCTAGACAGGACAGCTCTGGTGCTGTTGTAAATATTTCTAGGAACATTGATTCCAAAATGCTTCTACCTCTTGGTGGGCAGTAAACAAAAGAATAAAGAGGAGACTCCTCTGTTTAGTGCAAATTCTCTTCATTGTGCTTCCTTCACTTTGTATTCAATATGAGTTTCTCATTCATAGAACGAGGTTACCAAAACACACACCCAAGGTTAGGAAAGACCAAAATCCAAACCTACCTCCATCGAGTCAATTCCAACTCATAGTGACCCGGTGTAGGGTTTCCAAGGTCATAAATCTTCACAGGAGCAGAAAGCCACCTCTTTCTCCCAAGGAGTGGCTGGTGGATTCCAACTGGTGACTTTGTTAACAGCACAATGTGAAACCCACTGCGCCACCAGTTGCCCCTATTGTTGTTGTGTCCTGTAGAGTTGGTTCCAACTCATAGCAACCGGAATAGGGTTTCTGGGTCTCCAATCTTTATGGATTACAGGAGCCCTGGTAGCCTAGTGGTAATGAGTTGGGCTGCTAACCTCAGCAGTTTGAAACTACCAGCTGTTCCGCGGGAAAAAGAAGAGGCTTTCTGCTCCTATAAAGATTTACAGCCTCAGAAACCCTATGCAGGGTTGTTATGAGTCGGAACCGGCTCCACGGCACACCACCACCAATCTTTCCGGGAACAGGAAGCATCATCTTTCTCCAGCCTCTGTTGTTGTTAGTGCTGTCAAGTTGATTCCGACTCATAGCGACCCTGTATAGGATTTCTGAGTTGCAGCTGGTGAGATTGAACTGCCTACCTGTGGCTGGTTCACAGTCCAGTGCTGATCCTACAGCACCACACCAGGAGTCCTTTCTCCAGCCTCTAAGAGGAGAAAAACACCTCTTTAGACTGAGCTTCCACCCAAACTGTCCCCAAGCTCCATCTTTTGGAGACTGCTGGCACTACAACTTACCACTTTTTTTTTTTTTTTCTAAACAACGGATGAACATCCCAGGTCTGTGTTTCAACGGAAGACATTCACCCTGACTTCAGGACCCTTAGGCTTACCCAGAGAGCCTGAAACACTCCTGAAATATTCCTATTTCCTTTACTCCTCAAAATTCAAGAAAGATTCCACACCCATTTTAATATTTCAGAAGTCTTAATCCTGGAAGGTTCTTTTAGGGACTGTTTCCTCTTGTTTTTGTTTTTTAATCCCTCTGGAACACTATCAACTATGCTCTTGCCTTTCTTAGAGTTTATCGCCATGCAAAGATGCAGCCATGGAAATTGGAATCTATTCCCCCTGCCTGAGGTGGCAAGTTCTTTTCTACAGGGGAGCCCTAAACTGTAGTTCTCCAGTGCCTAGAATGTGGGAGATGAAAGAGACCCTGAATGCTCTTGTTCAAAGATATCTTAGTGGTCCGGCTCCAGAAATAAGGCCAGGGTGGGGTGAGGCATAGAATGCAGCAAGCATTCTGTAAACTATTTATAGCCTTCAAGTCTTCAGTACAGAAGTTGCGCTTTCCTGAAAACTCCCTACCCCATCTCATCTGGCCTCCCACAGCCCCAGCACAGGTCTTTGCACACAAGTGCTACATGTTGAGCATCTGTTGAATGTATATGTAGGACCCTGGAAACCCAAACGTGCTCAAATTCCTGCATAGTTTAGATGAATAAACATTTTTTAAAACTCTGGGGGGTGGGGGAACATCAGGCTGAAAGAGGGGGGCCTAGAGTATTCCCAGGGAGAGGGGAAAGAAGGTCTGAGTGATGTGTTCATCATCCTGGGTGGAAGGACAGAAGGGCAGGATATACAGCCCACAGAGCTGCCCTACAGATGGGCAGTGTCTCCATGCCCCACAGATGGGCAGACCTACATCAAGCAACTAGCCTGGCGTTTCCAGCTGTAAATATTTCAGAGCATCTACTGTAGCAAATGGCTCTCTGGGTATTGTGTTTCCTTGCATAGTGATGCCAGACTGTGTCTACTTACAGCCCATGTTCTGGTTCAAGATCACTTGATGTCCACTGGGCACAGCTCATTTACTGGTGATGGAGGGAGGGGAGGGTGTAGAACAGTAGAGCAGATCTGGAACTAGAAATCTGGAGATTTGTGTTCCATTCCTGCTGCTCTACTTGCACCCCCACAAACCACCTCTTTTGGCTTCTGTTACCCTCTCATAAAGCGGGGAGGGTGGACCATTTGCCTCTGATACCTTTTCTAGCCCCAAATGACTGTGACAGTACGTAACCAAAAGAAACTGGTGGCACAATGGTTAAGGTTTTGGCTGTTAACCTGTTAACTCAAAGGTTGGCTGTTGTAATCCACCAGCAGCTCCACAGGAGAGTAGCTCTGGTGATCTGCTCACAAAGATTACAGACTGGAAACTCTATGGGGCAGTTCTATACTGTCCTATAGGGTCACTATGAGTCACAAAAAGACTCAACAGCAGCAACATAAATAACCAAGGCTAACAATTAAACTTGCAGACACACTGCCCTATACTCACAGTCACAAGATACCTAGAAAAGTCAAGAAGGTGACTGGAGTTCAGTCCCTGGATCTCCAATGTTTCCCTGTCTCTCTTTCTTCTCCAAAGACCCCAAATGGTCACCCTTGGGCTTCTTGTTGTTGTATGCTGTCAGGTTGATTTCGATTTATCGGGACCCTGTTTAGGGTTTTCACAACCTAATGTGATTAGCAACGCCACATCACTCCATTCTGTCTGAGAAACACCACCCTACATCCTTTCTCACCACTAGAGGGTATGGTGAGCACACCTGAGAGATGCTGTTTGGTGCTTGGAGTTCTGGGGCCAGTTCTGGGGAAGGTGGAGTTAGACTACTTCAAGGTGAGGCCTTCTAGGCCCCTGTGAGTGTTCATGGCTGACTCAGAAAGTCTGGGGAAGGGTGAAAAGAAGCACCCTCCTCATGTATGGATATGAAGAGGTTCACGGTGCTTCTGCCCAGAGAAGTTAAGTGTTGTCAAGTTGGTGCTGACATACCAACCCTGTATAGGGTTTCCGAGAAGAGACTGGTGGGTTTGAACTGCTGACCTTGGGTTAGAAGTCCAGTGCTCATCCTACAGCACCATGCCAGAAAAGTTGTTGTTGTCAGGTGCCATCGAGTCAGAACCGACTCATAGCGACCCCATGCACAGCAGAATGAAACAATGTCCGATCCTAGGCCAATCTCACTACCGCCGCCACACTTGACACCATCAATGATGTCACCTGGCTGATCCATCTCGTTGGGGGTCTTCCTTTTTTTTCTCTGACCCTCCACCTTACCCAGCATGACATCCTTCTCCTGTTCTCTCCGGACAATGTGTCCAAAGTATGAGAGACGAAGCCTATCCATCTTGGCCTCCAAGGAGCACTCTGGTTGCACTTCTTCCAAAACAGATCTATTTGTTCTTTTGGCAGTCCATGGCACTTTCAGTATTCTCCTCCAACACCACAACTCAAAGGCATCAATTCTTCTACGATCTTCCTTATTCACTGTCCAGCTTGGGTCAGGCGCACCTTAGTCCTCAAGCTGACATCTCTGCTCTTCAATACTTTAAAAAGTTCCTGTGCAGCAGATTTTCCCAATGCACTACGTCGTCTGATCTCTTGACTGCTGCTTCCGCGAGTGTTGATAGTTGATCCAAGAAGAATGAAGTCCTTGACAACCTCAATCTCTTCTCCATTGATAAGAATGCTGTTTATTGGTCCAGTGGTGAGGCTTTTTGTTTTCTTTAAATTAAGTTGTAATCCATACATAAGGCTGTGCTCTTTGATCTTCATCAGTAAATATTTTAAGTCCTCTTCACTTTCAGCAAGCAAGGTTGTATCATCTGCATATCTCAGTCTTCCTCCAATCCTGACGCCACATTTTCCTTCATAGAACCCAGCTTCTCGTATTATTTGCTCAGCATACATATTGAACATATTCAAGCTGGATTCAGAAAAGGCTGTGGAACGAGAGATATCATTGCAGATGTCCGATGGATCTTGGCTGAAAGCAGAGAATATCAGAAGGCTGTTTACCTATGCTTTATTGACTATGCGAAGGCTTTCGATTGTGTGGATCATGACAAGCTATGGACAACATTGAGAAGTATGAGTATTCCAGAACACTTAATTGTACTTCTGAGAAATCTGTACCTGGACCAAGAGGCAGTTGTTCAAACAGAGCATGGGAACACTAAATGTTTTTAAATTGGGAAAGGTGTGCGACAGGGTTGTGTTCTTTCACCATTCTTGTTCAATATGTATTCCAGAGAAGAGGGATGTCCAAATGGTCTCTAAACTCCTGTGCTACTACTTCCCTTTCCTGCCAACCTCCCCCTGCAACCCCAAACACACACACACACACATACATACGAGGCCGAAGCTGATGCTGAATAAAGCATTACTGGGATTGTACAGATTGTTTTACATATGAGTGGAATACTGTTTCAAGTCAAAATAGCACAACATACACCCCAGCTCTCTTGCATTAGTTCTTATCTCCCTGAAGGGTTCCCAATTCTTGCTGTATCTAGTCAGTCTAGGTGGCACAGCCTGAAAAAAATATAGAGCTAGCTGGTCCTCAGGGATCCCCTGTGCTTGGTAATATTAACGGTACGGCCCCCTTTCTCCTGCTCACAGATCCTCCATGTGAATCAATCCCATGATGCAACATGCCTCCCCAGCCCCAGCTCTGACGATGATGACCACGCAGAATGTCCCTCCCCCACCCTACCAAGACAGCCCACAGGTGAGTGTGTGAGGGGCACTGCCTTGCAGGTCTGAGGAAGAACAGGTGAGGGAGTGTGGGGGCCTTTAGAATTCTAACTGCAGGTTGGACATTCTGGTCAAAGCTGTGATCTTCCAGGGGTGGGCCGGGATAGGCCTCTCTCAGCTGTGTCCTAGCAGCTCTCTGGGTTGTTCCCATGTGACTGATGAGGCCTCTCTGGAGAAAGTTTCCAAAACATAGCTGCCTGAAGAAAGGCATTACATTTGATAACGCCAGGTTCGGATCCTACTTAGCTAGCTGACACCAGTACCTTGGGCCTAAGAACTAGGATCATAGGCTATTCTTCCTACGTTCCTTGGTTCTACATTCCCTACTCTCTGATCACTTGATCCCTTTGTTTGGTCCTTCTTTGCTTGCTTACTGGAAGAATTTCCACTATCTTGAGGACTCCACCTGTCTTCTACCCAGAAAAAGCCCATTCCTTTAACCTCTTCCCTCTGACCCTAGTTTCCATCCCTCAGCTCAGACATTGCAGTCCCACAAGTTCTTCTGAGTTCATTTGTAATCCTACAGAAGGCACCATCACTTCATGGGCAAAGTCTCCTCATTGCTGTCCTCTAGTCCCCTCTCCCTGTCTGGAAAACCGGGGCCCAGCTTTCATGGGTGAGGCTCCTGCAGTCTTTGCACCTTCCACCCATACATAGTCATAGTTGGAACTGACTCGGCAGCACTTAACAACAACGTGAAACGCACACAGCCATAACATTGATTCTACAAATGTGCAGTGCATGCCTAATATGTGCCAGTGGAAGATCACTGTCCTCTTTCTCCAACTGCCTTCTTTGCCCTTCCCCTAGCATTTCAAACAGCCTGTTTGCTGGGAAGATCTGTGCCTCTTGAGAAGGATTTTCAAGCTGCAAACACAGAGTGGGGCTTTTGTTCATATTAGGTCCCAGACACCCTCAGCCTGGCATGAGCACTCTATAGCTACACTATGTAGTAGTTGTTGTTGTTGATGTTGTTAGGTGCCATCGAGTTGAGACCGACTCACAGCAACCCTATGCACAACAAAATGAAACACTGCCCAATCCTGGGCCAACTTCACAATTGTTGCCACACTTGAGCCCACTGATGCTGCCACTTTGTCAATCCATCTTGCTGGGTGTCTTCCTCTTCTTCTCTGACCCTAAACCTTACCAAACAGCTACACTACACATTCTTATTATTTCTCTCCCACCCAGTCCCAGAAATTGTTAGGTGATGGGGTCACTTGGTCACTTTTCAATGCCTGGCATGTGACCACTATTGACTCCTCTTACCCTAAAAGTATAAAAATACTGGTAACGCATGACCTTTGAGCCCATGTCCTTCTCCCTACATACTTGCTTGGCCTACGCAACATGTTCCTTCTTCAGTTTCACTCAAGCTCTCCTTGTATTCAGTGACCCTTCTGCCCCTGCCAGTAGCTCTCTAGGATAACTGCAGGGTTGGAATCAGCATTTCCACAGCTTCTCTAGACAAAAGCTTCCAGGTATCATCACAGTTAGGGCCCTCTCTCAGAGCCCTAGGCTCCAGATATGAAGTGCAGCAGGAGCCCAGAAAAAAAAAAAAACTGAAAAAGAGAGAGAGGGACCTAGGGACAATAATGGGGTGGGGTGGGAGTGGGGGCAGAGGTGGCAAGAGTCCACCTTTCCTCAGTGGAAGCAGATCTCTGCTCAGCCAGTGTTAGGGAGGCAGGGCCTTTGGCTCCATTTCTTTTGTAACTAGATCCAGCTCTCCAAGCTTCATAATAAGTTCAATGAACAGAGATGGGGAGACTTTCTATAATGAACAGGTGGTGAGTGCAAAAGCCCACATCCCCATACTTCAGCTCAGGGATATGTTAGGACCAAGACATCAGAGAATGCCACATTGGCATAGCTGCTTCCCTCCCTCCCATTTTGCCTGCCTGGCATCTGCGAGTTTAGAGTTGGGGGGATTAACGGGAGAGCTACAGCAGGGGCTTGAGTGGCCCATGAACACTGAGCAGATGTAGTCATGTAGTGGTGGTGGTGGTGATGGTATGTTGTCAAGTTGGTTCCGACTCTTAGTGACCCTGTGTAGGGTTTCTGAGGCTATAAATCTTTATAGCCTCAGCTAGTTGGTGGTAGCGGTGGTTATGTGCCATGGAGTTGGTTCTGACTCATAGCGACCCTGTATAGAGTTTCCGAGGTTGTAAATCTTTATGAGAGCAGAAAGCCTTATCTTTCTCCTACGGAACAGCTGGTAGTTTCGAACTGCTGACCTTGAGGTTAGCAGCCTGACTTGTAGCCACTACGCTACTAGAGCTCCTCTTAGTGGAGTAGAGGAGCCTAATGTAATGTTCAGCTTACAGCTGAATTAGCAAATCACAGCTACCAGGAAGGTGATAGAGCTGGGTCTGCTGCCCCAAGGTGCTCAGCCGCCACACCACCAACCCTCCAAACCTTTTCTAGCCTCTTGGGGAAGAAAAGGAAGCTTCAGATCCCCTTCAATGATATCAAAGCAGAAGCTGGATTTAGGGAGAACTCTGAGGACCCATTTGGATGTGATCATTGAAAACACACAGGCTTAGAGTAAAAGAATGTTTGCCCTATAGAAGGCACACATCTACTTGTAAACCCAGAGGTCTAGGAATGAGGTGCCTGACTAGAAGCCTCAGTGACCAGGTAAAGGTCTTGGAGTCTATGGCTTTGACTAGGTGGCTAGGCTATAACTAAATTGCCATAGGCCTTCCCTAGACTGAACTGGTCTCCAAGCAAATGATCAGGGTGGGAAGATAAAAAGAAGGTGTTGTGTCATAGATGGAGAAGATGAGATGGAGGAGATGGTAGGGCCATCAGAAAAAAGGCTTCTAAGTCATGGGGGAGCAAGGGGTGGCTGTTCTTTCTAGAGAGTGCTAAACTTTGTTTGAAGGGTCCATCCCTCATTCTTTAGGACTTCTTGGAATGGTTCCTTCACAGGAATGACACTTCATATGTTCCTGGTCACTTGAGTTTTGTTGTGGGGCTTTGCTCTGGTTCTCCAGTCTCCTTTCCTTTATTCTTTCAAGAGGCTAACCCCAGATTCTCAGGAGGAAAGCTGTGCTCTATTTCCTTCCTAATGTTCATTATCCCAGGGAAGCAACAGCTCTCCACCACTCAGGGTCTTCAGGAAAATGGCACCTAATAGGAGCATGGTTCAGGTACACAGGGGACTCCCTGAACAGGCCAATGCTTCCTAAATGGGACTAACAATCTAATGTCATTGTTCTTGGACCCTGTATGCCTTGGTTCCTCAAAGCCAGGACAGCTAAGCATGTTGTTGTTTGTTGCTAAGTTCCATCGAATCAGTTCTGATGCTCGACAACCCAATATAGGGTTTCCAAGGAGCGGCTGGTGAGCTTGAACTGCCAACCTTATGATTTAAACCGACTACGAAGTACAGTGCATTAACCTACAGCGCCACACCAGGACTATAATTCCTCATAAACCTAGGCTCTTCCACAGACAAGAAAGTCTCTTACATAAAATTCCCAAAATGAAAAAGGAAGCAAGAAACACAACCCTTCCTCTGAGACACACACAATAATTTTAATAATGTTCCCATTGTGCTAAGGGCTAGCAATACTGAGCATAATCTATTCAAATGCACAGGAGAATCTTACTTTGGAAAATTAGGAATCTGCATTAAAAATTCCCAAGCCCTGGACCTTCTTTATAATAAATTAGAATTCTTTTTTTTTTCTTTTCCAGTGGAAGTTCTTAACTTGGCAATTTCATTTTTGAAGTTTGGGGAATACAGTTATTAAAAATGAGGGAGACTTTTTTTTCATCCCATTTTAGTAGAAAAGCATAAATGGTTATAGCCACATGCTTTTTGGGCACAAGCCAAATGGTCTGATGGCCAAGGAGCTTCTAGTCCCTTAGTTCTGTTTCAGTCCAAACTGGGGAAACTCCATGATTACTTCTAAGGATGTCACTCTGTGTTTATTATGCACTAAAGGCTAAGTTTATAAAGTTCAAAAGCAACAATCTGCTGGAACTCCCCATACAGCCCACTTCCTTCTCTTGATGGCATCATATTAAATTATCTCCCAGAAGAATAGCAGCACACTCTACTGTCTAATAGTGCTGGAGGCTCTGCCACTAATATTTCAGTAACAGCAGGTTCATCCATAGTGGACTGTTTTCAGCATAATTTCCAGACTAAGGCAATCCAGGAAGAAAACTCTGGCTGTCTACTTCTGAAAATTAACCAATGAAAACCCTATGGACCACAGTAGAATATTGTATTGTCTGGTATGTTGTTGTTAGGTGCCATCGAGTCGGTACTGACTCATAGTGACCTTATGCACAGCAGACTGAAACACTGCCCGATCCTGGGCCAACCTCACTACTGTTGCCACGCTTGAGTCAATCCATCTCGTTGGGGGTCTTCCTCTTACCAAACATGATATCCTTACCAAACATGATATCCTTCTCCAGTGACTGGTGCCTCTTGACTATATGTCCGAAGTATGAGAGACAAAGTTTGGCCATCTTGGCCTCCAAGGAGCACTCTGGCTGCACTTCTTTCAAAACATGCTGGAAAATGAGTCTTCTAGCTTGGAAGGCACTCAAAATACAGTGGCTACAACAACAGACTCTAACACCCCGACAAAAGTGAAGATGGTGCAGGCCTGGGAAATGTTTTTTTCTGCTGTATGTGGAGCATCATGAGTAAGAGGCAACTCCATGGAAATTAAGCATAGTATCTCTGTTGCAGCGTGCTGTAGCTGTGTTCTGTCTATGCTGCTGTTGTTGTGAAATGCCAGCGAGTTGGTCCCGACTCATAGCAAACCTGTATAGGGTTTCTGAGGTACGAACATAAAGCTTCATCTACCCTCACTTTATGTGCTTGAAGAAGTAAGGGCTAGACATTAGGGCAAATGGAATACTACCATAATTATTTAATAAGCAAATTATCTCCAAGTACAGTATGGCTCAATGTATTGTGTTAATTCCTATATCACTCCCGTTACA